AACACAAGCAGCGGGAGTGGGAGAGGGAGAAGCAGGCTCTGCTGAGCAGGGAGCCCAATGAGGGGCTTGATCCCAAGACCCCAAGATCATGACTTGAGCTGAAGGCAGATGCCCAATGACTGAGCCACCCAGATGCCCCTGAGCTGTTTTTTTCTTAAAGATTTTATTTTGTTGGGTTCCCCCCAAAACTGGGTACCCCAATAATGGGTCCGTGATTAAAGGAGCGAGACTGATACAAAGTGAAGGTCAAGCAAAGCTTTATTTTGCGCCAAGCATCAGGAAGCAGACCGACCGTCAAACACACCGGTCGGCCGCGGTAGCCCCTACAGAGAGGATGACCCCTCCCTGCTTTCTAGACTAACTTTTATAGAGCAAAGGCCATGTGGTTGGGCCCGGCCACACACAGGTGGCCAATGAGATTGTAACACACACACAGGAAACTCCACAGTGATGCTAGGTGACCAACTGGATTACAATTTACCCTAGTAGACATTTGAACCAGCCTATCACACCTTGGTTAGGATCGGCGCCAAAAGGCTCCCAAAGGGCGGGGCCCATGCTCCCTGGTAGCTAGGGGACGGTACGCGCCCCCACTGACTGATTACCTCCACCTGGCCTGACCCACCCTTGTATTTAGACTTTGTTACGTGGGACTGGTTTCCCGGACTTGCTTTTTAAATAAGTTCCCCTGGGGTGGGGGGCAAGGTCAATTTAAGCTTTACAGCAAAAGGGCCGTTCAACTGGGTGGGGCCGCTCTGGCTGAATAGGGCCCTTACAATTTATTTATTTGTTTATTTGAGAGCAGCTGGGGAGAGCAGGAGCGGGGGGGGGGGGGGGGGGGGGGGGGGGGGGGGGGGGCGGAGAAGCAGAGGAGGAGGAAGAAGGAACCCAAAGCAGACTCCTTATTCAGCATGGAACCCGACTTGGGGCTCGAGCCCATGACGACAAGATCAGGACCCAAGCAGAAACCAGGAGAAGGACACTTAACCCCCTGAGCCACCCAGGCACCCCCTGAGCTAGCTACCTGTTTTTACTCTCTCTTATTCAAAAGAAAATTATCTTACTAACACTAAGGCAAACTATACTATGGTCATCCTAAATGCTATTTTAGGGGCACCTGGGGGGCCAGGTCAAGCTAAGCGTCCGACTCTTGGTTTCGGCTTGGGTCAGGATCCCAGTGAGTGAGCCCCGAGTTGAGCTCTGACGTTCTCTCCCTCTCCCTCTGCCCTTCCCACTCAAGAGCGTGCTCTCTCTCTCTCTCAAATAAAGAAATAAATCTTTAAAACAATGACAATATTTTAAAACCAGTGTTATTGAAAGCTTTGTAAAACAAACAAACAAACAAAAACACGCTTTATGTTGTAAGGGCCCTATTCAGCCGGAGCGGCCCCACCCAGTTGAACGGCCCTTTTGCTGTAAAGCTTAAATTGACCTTGCCCCCCACCCCAGGGGAACTTATTTAAAAAGCAAGTCCGGGAAACCAGTCCCACGTAACAAAGTCTAAATACAAGGGTGGGTCAGGCCAGGTGGAGGTAATCAGTCAGTGGGGGCGCGTACCGTCCCCTAGCTACCAGGGAGCATGGGCCCCGCCCTTTGGGAGCCTTTTGGCGCCGATCCTAACCAAGGTGTGATAGGCTGGTTCAAATGTCTACTAGGGTAAATTGTAATCCAGTTGGTCGCCTAGCATCACTGTGGAGTTTCCTGTGTGTGTGTTACAATCTCATTGGCCACCTGTGTGTGGCCAGGCCCAACCACATGGCCTTTGCTCTATAAAAGTTAGTCTGGAAAGCAGGGAGGGGTCGGTCGGACTGCTTCCTGATGCTTGGCGCAAAATAAAGCTTTGCTTGACCTTCACTTTGTATCAGTCTCGCTCCTTTAATCACGGACCGATTATTGGGGTACCCAATTTTGGGGGGACCCAACAATGTAAAACATATTAAGTTGTATTAACTTACACAGAAAATGCCATAACACATTTCCTTTGGGGCTTAAAAAGCGTGTGCATCTTGGGCAAGAACGCATGTATGCGTGAGGACGGCAGGAACCTGAGGATTTTTATTTTCCTTTTCAGCCCAAACACCTTTGAGCCCAGGGTTGGGTCCAAGTGATGCTCCATTTTGTGGTTATCTTAAAAAAAGTTTAATTGGGGGCACCTGGATGGCTCAGTGGGTTAAAGCCTCTGCCTCCAGCTCGGGTCATGATCTCAGGGTCTTGGGATCGAGCCCCACATCGGGCTCTGCTCAGCTGGGAGCCTGCTTCCTCCTCTCTCTGCCTGCCTCTCTGCCTACTTGCGATCTCTGTCAAATAAATAAATAAATAATCTTTTTTTTTTTTTTTTTAAAGATGTTTATTTGGGCTTCAGGTGGAGTAACTTACATAGATCTTTGTGTGATTAATAAGGAAATATAGGCAAACGTGTTTTTGAGGTTTTTGCCTAAAAACTGCCCAGTTATTTCTCGCTGGGCAAGGTAATGGGTGCAGGAGAAACGGAATCCAGTCTACGGGTTTCCAGCTGATCGGAAAACACAGTATAATCCCTGCTCCGCAAACACTCCTGAAGGCACAGACCCCCTCTCTCTGGCATCTGCTTCTTCGATTTTCCTGCAACACCTTGTACTTGATTCTTGCACTTTGGCCCTGTCCTTTCTATTCCCTTGTCCTGATATACACCCCCGCTGTCCTCCCTGATTGTAGGCGTTAGCTTCCCAGTAGGTCCTGCTCCCTCCAAGCTCAGACCTTGGTCTTGCCTTGTTGCCATAGTTACCTTCACCCGCAATCTCACTGCTTCTTTGGAAAACCACCAGAACGCCTCCCCCCAGTCCCGGTGTCTCTTCTTTGCCAGGGCTCCCCTCAATCATACTGATGGGGTTCGGGAATACAGGTAAGGTTCAGTGGGGTGAGGTCCAGAGCCTACAGCCAAGAAAGAATTCTTGAGACATCTTTGGTGCACAATGGTGGCTTATTAAAGCATGGGGACAGGACTTGTGGGTAGAAAGATTGGCTGCCCCCCCACCCCGGGGTTGTGAGTGTGGCTGATTATCTACTATGGGATCGGTGAGGAAAAAGGGAGGTTTCTAGGAGGAACTTTCATATGTTAAAGAAGACTCACAGGATACCAGAGGCCTTGCTGTTGTCAAGTTAAGGTTGTTTAACCTTCTAGTAAGGCCTTAACAGTAAGTTGGGAGCTTCCTGGAAGAGTGTTACATTCCTCTAATCACACACGACCTCACCAAAGGCCTGCAGGTTTAAAAGAAATTCAGTTTTATTTACATTTCCTTCTGCCTCACCCTCCCTCAATTTTATGGAGGGGAGGGTGATGTTATGGTTTCAGGAAAGTTATGGGTCTCTGGAAGTTTGGCTACTGATAAGAAAGCTTCCTCCTTGTACATCACTAGGACATGTGTAAATGGAGGGAGACGCAGGCCTTGCAGGACTGTGATCCCTGCAAGTGAATTGCTTGTTTTTCCTTAAGGGCAGTCAGGAGTGACTGAGGGATGCCACATATATTCCATGGGGGGAGGGGGCGTGGGGTGTCAGCTTCTGCTTTGTCCCCAGCTTGCCTTCTGTTCCCTCATCAGTGGGTGAGCTCTCCTCAGGCCACTGTGACCACTGTGACCACTGTTGGCTTTTCATGTTATTCTTGAGGCTGACTCTTTACTCTTGAGGCTTTACAAGGCAACCTTGAACTTTCCGCTGGAGACAAGAGTACATTTGGTTTGAGTAAAGGAGAATTCTGTTGGGGCACCTGGATGGCTCAGTGGGTTAAGCTTCTGTCTCCAAGTGAGCTCAAGCCAAGCATGACTCCAGGGTCCTGGGATAGAGTCTGGCATGGAGTCCTGAGTGCTGCTCCCTGCTCAGCGGGGAGCGTGCTTCTTCCTCTCCCTCTGCCCCTTCCCGTGCTTGTTCTCTCTCAACTAAAAATAAATAAATAAATATATATTTTTTTTTAAAAAGGATAAATCTGGGGCGCCTGGGTGGCTCAGTGGGTTAAGCCTCTGCCTTCTGCTCGGGTCATGATCTCAGGGTCCTGGGATGGAGCCCCACATCGGGATCTCTGCTAAGCGGGGAGCCTGCTAACCCCCTCTGCCTGCCTCTCTGCCTGCTTGTGATCTCTTTGTCAAATAAATAAAATCATTTTTTTAGAAAAAGGATAACTCTGTTGTCAAGGTTTTCCCTTCTGCAGAGACCAAGGACCCCTTTCGCATTATTATCCGAAGACCTCGGGCTTGTCGCTCTGCCCCTGGAAGACTGACTGGTGGCAGGTCGCGTTCCATTCTCGAGTCCCCTTGGCTACCGGGCTGGGGGACCGGGTTCTGCCCATCGATCCTGCCCCGGGTCTCCCCGCGGTCCCCGCAGTCGGAGGAGTGGGCTTGTCCGTCCAGGAGTCCCCAGAAGGGGCAGGACGGGGGCAGGGAGGCGCGACCGACGGCGGAGCCGACCAGGCCGGTCCCGCTTCTCCGCGCACTCGGGCCTCCGCTCTGCGAGCCGCCGACACCCGGTCGGTGCGGCCTGCACCCCCGAGCCGCCTGCTCCGCCGCCGGGCTCAGCGCGCCCAGGGCCCCGCCCGAGGTGGCCGCAGCACCTGCGACGAGCAGCGGCGTCCACTGCCCACCGCGCCCGCGGGCCGCCGAGGCCGGGGCTGACGTGCGCGCGGCCACCAAACAGGCGACTGCGGGTCAGAGCCCGTGCCCGGGTACGGCCTCAAGTCCGCGCCCAGGGGAAAGGACGCCCTCAGCAGACAAGGACGCCGCAGAACACACCGACGGCCGCGCGCGGGGACCGCCGCGCCGGTGACTGGCAGCTTCGCCCGGAGGCGGGGCCTGAGCGGCGGAGCGGAGGCGGCTGGGATGCGACCGCACGTCCCGGCCTCAGAGCCGCCCCCGGGCCTCCCTGTGATTGGCTCCTTCGGCCCTGGGGGCGGGACCTCGCCGGTGGTGCGCGCGCCGCGGTGACGTCAGTCCCGGCGCGACCTCCGGCTCATCCGGCCCTCGCCAGGTCCTTCCCGGTGTCCCCGTCATGGCGGCCTCTCTTCTGCTGCGGCGAGGACCGTCCGCGGCGCTGAAGGTACAGGGAAGCCGGGCCGGCGGCGGGAGCCCGTGTGGGGCCAGGGCCATCCCCAGCCGTCCTGCTGGCCGCTGACCCGCCGTTCGGGTTCAGGGGAGGGCGCGGGCCCGGGGGCGGCCTCTGGGGCGGGCACTAGCCGGGCCCCAGCCCCTCGGCGGACCGCGATCTCCCGGGAAGCCCCCGGCGTCGGGACCGTTGAGGACAGCGTCGTGACCTCGTGTTCAGGCCGCAGAGGGGAGGAGGGAGCTCGGATGGGCCTGGCTCCGCGGGTGACGCACCGGGCCGCCGCGGGGCGCCCGCCTGCCTGACCCCGCCTGTGAGGACGGGAAGGGACGAGGGCGTTCTTGCCGGGTAGAAATAAGGCCGCCTCCCGGGACTTACGATCGTGGAGGCTCTTAGGAAAGCGCGGACGGTTCAGTGCAGGTGGCGGGGTTCGGCTTCAGGGTCCGCCGTCGAGCCCCGGAGGCCCCCGGGTCCGAGCGATTGTTTGCGCCGCCGCGTACACGGCCCTGCTTGCGGTCGTGAACGTAGGACACGCGTTTACCTTCGCGCGCACAGCAGAGGCAGCCCCTCCGCGCCGGCTTCGGGAAGAGCGCTCGGCTGTGCGCCCAGTGCTTGCCGGTTCGTTAGACGGTCGCCGCTCGCCCTGTAAGCGGTTCGGAAGTGGTGGTCACTCGCGTACGCGTGAGCGACAGCCGGACGCTGTCTCTTCTGCTCAGCGCTCTAGGCGTGGGAGAGCGTTTTACAGGAAGAATCAGTACTTTGTGGGTTGGTAGGTGATCGGGGCTACAGCACAGTGTGCCCGGGAGCAGCTCAGTCTTGGCTTTTCTCGAAGTTACGTAGTTAATAACGACTGTCCTGTGGGGGGTTTTTCTTACAGTTTTTTTGGTATTTTCCAAAATTTCCGTAATACACATGTTTTGGTAATTGTAATAACTGTGAGAAATAGACCATGTGAGTGACTAGTAATGACACGTAGTATTTCTGTGTCGCACAGCTTCCGAATGGCTTTACTCTAAAATGTCTGTATCTGTTCGTTCTTCTCTCAGACTGTGCTCCTAGAAGCACGAGTGTGTCGAGGACTTGCTTCCACGGTTTCCCTCTCTGCAGAATCAGGGAAGACCGAAAAGGGACTGCCGCCGAATACCAAGAGGCAAAGTCCACCAAAAAGTAAGATTTTGATGATGTCCTAAGGGAAAGAGAATGCAGAGTAAATAAAGCAGCCTACTTTCCAAGCATGAGAAGTTCTACTGACTACGTGATGTGATTCTTCATTTCTTTCTTTTTTTTTTTTTTTTTTAAGATTTTTTTTTTAATTTACTTAACAGACAGAGATCACAAGTGGTCAGAGAGGCAGGCGGAGAGAGAGGGGAAGCAGGCTCCCTGCTGAACAGAGATCCCGACGCGGGGCTTGATCCCAGGACCCCGGGATTATGTCCTGAGCCGAAGGCAGAGGCTTTAACCCACTGAGCCACCCAGGAGCCCCTGATTCATTTCTAGCAGTGTCCAGATTATAATCAGATGTAAGATCTGTGACAGTTTTTAGCTCAAACACATCAGACATGTAACAGTGTTTGACCCAATATTTAGCCCCGAACCAGTTCTGCCTCTGTTTCCTAAAAGCCATACTCTAACACGTAGCAAGGGGTGCAGAGTGCGAAGGCTGGGGCATTGAGATGGCCCAAGTACAGATCCCACAGTCCCGTGGCAGCTCAGAAACCCACCTGGCTTTTCTTCCCCCAGTTGTGGCTTTTCTCAGTGTCTCTGAAACTCAGACTTTGGTTGGCCATGGTCCAGGGTTGCAAGCATCCTTTTATGACCATGGAGAGGGAGTTAAGGACAAGCACCGTTTTCCATTACAACTTACTTTGATGAAGCTCCATGTCTGATCTGTGTCCAGCTGTTTCCGTAGTCATTTTGACTGATTGCTGGTTTTTACTTCTTTTTTCTCCTCCCAAATACGATGTAGTATCCTCATGGAAGGAAAATAGAAGAGGCAACAGTATATTTTAAATACTTCCGGTAATTTTCTTTTGTAATGCCTGTTCATTACCAATAACTGATTATAGGGACACCTGACTGGCTCAGTCAGTGGAGCGTAAAACTCAATCTCCAGGTTGTGAGTTTGAGCCCCACACTGGGTGTAGAGATTACTTAAAATCTTAAAAAAATTAAAGATGTATATTGTAGTCTCTGCAGACCTTTATATGTGGTTTGGAATGATCAGCTGAGTTGGTCTTACTTTCGTTGTTTTCTATTTCCTCAGTTTGAGTATTTGAAAGTGCTTAGTTAGTTTTTGCTTTGTTCCTCCTTAGTAGGCACACAGAACCATGGCAGCGTTTAAAATATTGGCCCATTGTTGGGTGTGCTGGCCCCAGCTGCCTTTCCTGCCCTGTCGATGTTGGCTGAGGAAACACCCCTTCTGGATGGCAGCTCAGGCAAATTCTGTTTAATTCAGAATGTTCTGTTCCGTTTAACTCAGTCCAGTTTTAAACCCAGTATCCTTTTTTTTTCCTTTTTAGCAAAACCACAGCACCATGATCTCTCCTAAAAGACATTTACAGCTGGAATGTCAGTTTGATTCTGCGCTATGCCTGGCACTTGTTCGGTGTCTTTCAGTGCGCCCTGATGATAAGTTTCATCTCGACTTAGGTTGTCGCTGCCTGTGGAGGCTTTTAGTCCTGTATCTGCGCTCCTCCGTCCTAGGTTAATGGTACTGGGCTAATGGATATGTGAGCGGGATGGGTGCTGGGTCTTGGGACGGTTCTGGGTGCAGTTATGAGAAGGGAGCACCGAGCTGGGAGTTGGGCTTCGGCCTGTGTCGTTCCCGGCCCTGGACGCTGAGCCTCCCTGCCCGAGCAGGGCCAGCGGGGGGTGATAACGCACAGCATGTTTGTGTCCCATATTTAAAAGAGTCTCATCTGTGTGTGAAGAAAAAGAAAGAATGCTTCTAAATGGACGTGTGCAGGTCTCTGTGTCTGCCAAAGTGTCAGTACTTGGAAGACCGGTGGAGGGTCTTTTGCCGGGCACTTTGCCAGCTTGAAGCCCTGTCCACTCCATGGCTTCGCACGCTCTAACAGAAGTTGCCTGCATGCAGAGTGGGCCCCAAGCGCCCACCCTTGGGGTCGCATCTCTACTCAAAGGGTCTGCCTCAGAGGCAGGATCCCGGGGTTACAGAGCGCCTTCTGGCTCACTGCATCTGGAGCTCCAGCTTCTTGTGGCCCACGCGTCCTTCCCGAGGGGGGCCGCCAGCACAGATGCCCAAGTCCAGGGTCTCCTTGTAGGTCCCCCGTCCCGCAGAACCACCGGGCTCCCCAGCTTTGATGTTCCTTTGAATGCAGGCACTAGCTGGGTTTTGCCTCAGTCAGTATTGACTTAATAACTTAATTGTTGACTTAATAACTCCTGTGTCACTTTTTAAAGAATCTGTCAGGAAGCCAGAGTTAATCATCCATTTCCAGTCCTCACTTCAGTTTGAAAAGTGAGGACCCTACGGAAATAGGGCTTTGCTGTATCTATTCCTAACCAGGTGCCAGGCACTGTCCCAAGCACTCCATACAATCTCTCGTCTGGTCCCCAGCACCCTGTGAGTGGACACTGTTACTGTCCCTGCGGTATAGACGACAGAGTCGAGGCGGGAAGAGGTCCGTGAGCTGCCCAAGGTCCCACATAGGGCAGTGGTGGAGCCAGACGTGAACCCAGCCAGTAAGGCCCCACTGTCTGTACTGTTCATCATTGTGCTGTTCTGCCTCTGGAAAAAAAAAACCCCTCAATTCTCAGGTATTCATTAAAAACCCCAGCGTTATAGTCCTGTACATGTACAAAAGGAAAAGTTTTCATTAGCATATAAAATTTGAGTAGCAGTTGTGGAAACATGTGTTTGTTTTTGAGTGTGCTTTGTGGCCAAGATTAGTTCTGTGACCCAGTGAGAAGGTACAGAAGAATTCTGACGTAGCTAATTCGCTTCAAACAGCAGTAGTCATTTTTGCCTCTAACAAGGAGACCACTGGGGGTGCCCAACTGGCTCGGTCGGGGGCGCGCGCAAGTCTTGATCTCAGGGTTGTAAGTTCGAGCCCCACGTTGGACGTAGAGATTATTTAAAAATAAAAACTTTAAAAAAAAAAAAGGCTTTGATAAGGAGACCACTAAAAACTTGAAGGTCATGCCCTCATTTTTCATGAGTAGAAAAGAGATTGGGGAAGGACAGGTTCCGTTTTGAGAGGAGATAGAGAAGCAGTAGGACTTCTCTCGGTGCTGTTGCTAGAGCTCGTAGACCTTTATTGTGTGTAGGCTGCTGTGGTCATTTGTCTGGTCTCTGACAGTGGAAACAGTCCGCGGACATCCCTGGCCTGTGCTGGGCCTCCCTGGCTAGAGTTAGGGAGCGATGCGCTTTCCTATGTTTGTCAAGGAAGGTCAGCATCAAACTAGAACTCTCAGTGTAGGGGTTCCTGCCTCCAGATAGAGGCTTCATGAGAACAAGCCAGTAGGATCATAAGGTGAGAGCCGTCGGTCCTCTACACGGGACGGCTTTCTTCCAGTGACATTCTGCACTGCGCGGCGGAGTGCGGTCTCCGGAATAGTGGCTCTTAGTGGCAACTCCGGACCACTGTGGCAACTTCCTTCTGAGTCCCAAGCGGACCCCGGCCCTGTGCTGCACTACGTCGGAAATCAGCTCATTGAAAAGCAAAATGCAGGGGCACCTGGGTGGCTCAGTCGGTGAAGCATCTGCCTTTGGCTCAGGTCATGATCTCGGGGTCCTGGGATCCAGTCCCCACATCAGGCTTCTTTCTCAGCAGGGAGTCCACTTCTCCCTTTCCCTCTGCCTGTCCCCCCAGCTCGCACTCTCTTGTGTGTGCACTCTCTCTCTCTCTCAAATACATAAAATGTTTTTTAAAAATGCAAAATGCAATACTTTATTTTAGTCTCCTGGCCTTTCTGTGGAATTCTTCCAATTATTTTAGCATGAATATAAGACACCTTAATGGTGTGCCTGGGTGGCTCAGTGGGTTAAAGCCTCTGCCTGCAGCTTGGGTCATGATCCCAGAGTCCTGGGACCGAGCCCTGCATCAGGCTCTCTGCTCAGCAGGGAGCCAGTTTCCTCCTCTCTCTGCCTCTCTGCCTGCTTGTGATCTCTCTCTGTCAAATAAATAAAATTAAAAAAAAAAAGACACCTTAAAACATTTTTATTTCATACTATAGAAATTTCATTTTCAGTTTCTAAGCAATACCACTGTTGATCCCATTTGAAATTTTCTTTCCATTTTCAGTAGCTGATAAACCAACCTACAGTGTAATTTTGATAACTTATTTGCAATTTTTTAAATCCCCACAACAACATTTTGGAAGATTCAGGTGTAACTTTTCTATTCAAAACAGTTTATCTAAGATACTCCCTATTTTAACGTAACTTTTCATACTTAGGAAATTTAGGGGCGCCTGGGTGGCTCAGTGGGTTAAAGCCTCTGCCTTCGGCTCAGGTCATGCTCCCAGCTGGGTCCTGGGATTGAGCCCCGAATTGGGCTCTCTGCTCAGCGGGGAGCCTGCTTCCCCCTCTCTCTCTGCCTGCTGCTCTGCCTACTTGTGATCTCTGTCAAATAAATAAATAAAATCTTTAAAAAAAAAAAATTTAGGCTAGTGGGTGTGGGGGCCACTAGAAGTTTCTGAGCTGATTTAGGTACAGTCTAGAGAGAGTTCAAGTGTGCATACCCTCCTTTGCCTAATTTTTTTTTAAGACTTTTTATTTATTTATTTGATACCGAGAGAGGGAACACAAGCAGGGGGAGTGGGAGAGGGAGAAGTAGGTTTCCCACCGAGCAGGGAACATGACACGGGGCTCGATCCCAGGACCCCCCAGGATCATGACCTGAGCCGAAGGCAGACACTTGACAGCCGAGCCCCCCAGGCGCCCCTCCTTTGCCTCGTTTTTGTGTCGAATGTGGTCCCAGAGCTCCGTGTGTGTTCTGAGAGTCAGGGCATTCGGGATACAGACCCTGGGCCGGCCTCCCGTGGAGGCGGCAGAGCTGGTGCTGCCTGAGGGGCCAGTGGTGGCTGCCGTGGGGATGCCGGGGCTGGAGGGGGTGTTGCAGGGCGTGGGCATGAGCCGCCACGATCTGCTCTGGCTGGACCATCAAGCCCTTAACGCGCCCGTTTTCTTCTCGGTGGCCCGTTTACGATTTGTGGTTATTCCTCCATTTTCTGCATTTCCTGTCCTCCTGTTATGTGTAGGTCCCAGAGCCCAGAGAGCAGTGAGAAGCTGCTGTGGATACTGGGAAGACAGTAAAGTCAGGACTACGCTTCTTTCCACTTGAAAGAAGAAGGGTCGAGGTCTCTTTAGGATGAGATAGACTCTGGCACCTGAGAACAAAGTCGCTGCATCTGGCGTCTGCTCCGCTGCAGTGTATTTTTAAGTTTTGCTTTAGATTTGGAAAGTAGTTGTAACTTACAACACTTGTCTTATATTTTTCTTCAAATTTCTGTGGTTAGAAAAGATTTACTACCTGAGAAAATTGAATGAAGTTGGTTCTGATCAGTGTACTGTGCAATCTTATTTTTTTAATGATCGACTCTACAAAATGCAAGGGTTTTACATTAGCACTTATTCTGTCTCCTCCCGCCCCCCCCCAGCTCAAAACTTGTTGTTTCCAATGATATACGCACCAAGTTATTTTAGACCTTTTCGGTTGTGTAATACTTTTCTGTGGCCGAGGAAGTCCCCAGATGACTTGTGATTTTGAAGGACTTCTCTTCCCCTTGGGGCACGTTCATTTGAATGACATTCTCCCCACCCTGTCACCCCCCCAGCATTCACACACACACACACACACACACACACACCCACGCACTTGCATGCACACACCCAAATGCAAACCAGGTGCTTGTCCCTGTCCTGGTTTTTGTTTTTGTTTTTTAAGATTTTATTTATTTGACAGAGATCACAAGTAGGCAGAGAGGCAGAGAGGGAAGCAGAGAGGGGTGGGGGAAGCAGGCTCCCTGCTGAGCAGAGAGCCCGATGCGGGGCTCGATCCCAGGACCCTGAGATCATGACCTGAGCCGTAGGCAGAGGCTTAACCCACTGAGCCACACAAGTGTCCCATGATTTTGGCGGGGGGGGGCGGGTTTCTCAGAAAGTTCGGGCTCATCCACTGTGGATGACCTTCTTAACATTTGAGAACCATCAGTTTTTTAAAGATAAGAAATTACCCATTTCTAAAACCCTCAGTAGTCATTTGGAAATATCTTTATAGTTTAGCTATTTGAAATTTGGGTGAAATTATCATCAAAGAAGTTCTTATTGTGAAAAGTGGAGACAAGTTTGTTACTTCTGTTGGTAAAAATCCCTGTTTTTAAATATTTCAGCTGCGAAGAAAAATCTTTACGTCTCTTACTATTCCCTATCACGTGGCTTGGCTTTGACCTAAGAATGCGTTCCCCTGGAACATTTCTTAGGCTGATTATGTTGAAAATATTATGATAACAAGTTGTTAGTAATGAAATGTCTTTGACTTACTGATAAATTTAGATTGTTTTACAAATTATTGAAAATAATATTCCTCTTTATGCCATTTCCTAGATGTAGTGGAACCAAAGGAGAGGGGCAAGCTACTAGCCACCCCAGCAGCAGCTGAATTGTCTAAAAACTTGTCTTCACCCAGTTCTTACCCATCAGTTGTGAATCCGGGCGGGAGGGTAGCTAGCCCTCGCCCTAGTCCTGAGGATAGCGTGCTATTCACAGATGAAGGGGTTCCAGAGTTTTTGTCAAGAAAGACTTTGGTAGAGTTTCCTCAAAAAGTTATGCCTCCATTCAGAAAAGAGGGTTCGGATTCCAGAGCTGTTCAGGAGAACAGGGGAGGGACAGATGGTTCCTCGTCCTCGTCATCCTCGTCGTCCAGCTCCTCTGACTCGGAGTCTGATGAGGAGGGCGGCGGCTCCACAGTTGACCCTCGGGTGACGAGCAGGGGCAGAGGAGGCCTTCCCAAACCGCAGGCCTCCCGTTCGCTTGAAAGCGGAGCCCCTAAAATCGCATCTTCCACCAAAGAGAAGACCCGGTCCGAGCAGGGACAGCCAGACCTGAGCCCTCCAGAGAGGCCCCGGCAGGCAAAGAAGAAAGGGGCCCCTGTGAAGCCATTAGAGGACAGAAAAGACACTAAAGTGAAAACCACAGCACCCAGGTTGCAAGCAGATAAGGAGTTGATGAAGCAAAACGTAAAGGAGAAACAAATGGGAAAAATACTTAGATCAAGTGAGAAAGATAAAGAAAGTCCCAAACCACTGGAAGTTAAAAAAGCCTCACCTGACCATGCGAAGTCGGGCTTGTCTACACAGCCAGCTGGTAGCCCCGCACCCACGCCCACGAGGTCAGGCTTGAGTACACAGCCAGCTAGCAGCCCTGTGTCGTCGTCGTCAGAAGCAAGCAGAGCAGCGGGGCAGCTGCAGGCACCTCCTGAGACCAGAGATGGGCGTTTGGAGAAACAAGTCGTGGAACTCAATGGGGAAGGGGTGTTTCCCCTGGTCGGCAGGGAAGGTTCTGGAGAGCGGATAATGGGAGGAGTCCTGCAGGCTCGAGAGGAGACGCTGGGAGACCAGGTACCACCAGTACAGCATGGGAAGCCGCCAGGCCTGGAGCTCGAGGGAAAGGACGAGACGGCGTCGGCGCCTGGCCCGGCAGAGCCGGACGACACACAGGGTATACCTTGACCTCTGCTCTCTCGAGAACCTCCTTTCCCGTGCGGGTGGCGGGCCGCTGGCCCAGGCGGTGTGAAGAAGTGTCTGCAGTAGCAGTGGGCCCTGGGCCGGGTCTCAGATAAGCAGAGGACTGTCGGAATTGGCACAGCCCCTGGGCACTTTCTATTTAGGCGGAGGCGGGAGGCCTGGGTCATTTCTGGCCCCCCCACCCCCTCCCCAGCTGTTTAACGTCCTTTCCCTTGACCTTGTTCCGTGAACTTGGAGAGCCTTTTCTCCGTGGAAGGGGTCTGGGGGACTCCGGTGGGCCGTGCTCGCCCTGTGGGGTGGGCCTCCAGGGAGCGGTGCCTTTCCATTCCTTAGGCCTGAGGGGCAAGCCCGGTTTGGGGATAACTCAGTGAGCGGCCCAGGTGCGTCCGGAGCAGCTTCTGTCTTCTTGCCCCAGGATGATGCTTCCTTCTCTGATTTACCCAAAAACACAGTGGGCTGTTCTGTTTTCCCATACTGAATTTTTATGAAGGGCTCTTCGCTGTCATAAATGTTTAGTATTTTGTTCCTTTTGCGCTGCGGTGTGGCGGTGCACTGACATGTGTAGAGGGCTTGTGCTGTCGCTGGGTCAAGGCAGGCAGGGCTCTGGGCGCAGAGCCAGGCTCCGCAGAATGTCTGTAAAATGCATTACTAACAGCCGCGGCCCCTTCCTGTTTGCTCTGTGGTCTTCCTAAAGCCGCCCCCTCTTGCCTCATGTCCACTATGTGGTCGTAGTTGTTGTCGTGTGGACAGAATTTATGTGTTTTCTTCCCTCCGTTTTCTCCCTCTTTCATTAATATCCAGAAGTGTCCGCGCTTGCCAGACTGGTCAAGACGTCAAGAACCGCACTGCTTCAGTCCTGCTGCTGTAAACTGCAGAGCAATGCCCAGACCTTTAGGATGACGACAGGGTTTGCACATTGCAAACGATTTTGAAAACAGTTTCCTTCTGATTTTTTACGGACGTGTTCTTTTTCCTGCATTCCTTATGCCCTTCGGAGGCTGAGGCCGCCACTGCCCTGGAGCACGGCCCACTTGGAGGTGTCCCTGGGCAGTGTTCCTGCCCCCGCCGCCTGGCCCCTTGCCCTCTGGCGGGCTTGATTTTCACACGAGTTTTCTGAACCCACATTTCCCTTCAGTTAGCACCATCCGTGTATCTGCTCTGAAGATGTCCCTACACGCATCGGGAGGCTCTCCTCGAGATTGAAAAGATGTCAGGTCTGAATAAGACATTGTTTTTGTTTAGTACAATGGAACACATGAAAAACAAAACATTTGCTATGAATCCAAGTAGGGAATCTATTTGGGTCCTTTTCCGTGCCCCCCAGGTAGAAGTTGGGAGAGCCCCATTGGCAGAAGTCCAGGACCAGTAGGCACGCCATCTGCAGCCCCCCGAGAGCCACACCTCTGCCCTCTGACACTGCCTGGCCCCGGGGCAGGAAAGGCTGCATTTCCCTTTGCTTCAACCACACACTTCGACTTCTAGGATGACCAGACATTCTCCACAGAAAGAAAGAAAGTTTCCAGTTTATATATTTTAGTCTGAATCTACAGTATACCAACAACTTTTTCAGAAAAAGTTGAAAACTCGACACATCATTTCCATCCCCCTCGAGCTGGTGGTTGTGTCATTAAAACAGGGTCTGACGATTCTTAGCAGGCTCCCTTTGGAACAGTTTTCCCTGCTGGTGGTTTGAGATGAGACCGCTCTCTGACGGATCTGGGGTTTTTCCTGCATCTTTAAGTGGCCTGAAGGTGCCCCCGTAACCGTAGGCATTTTCAGAGTTCTACGAAGTCAGGTGTTAATGACTTGCAACCGTCCCATTGGGAAGCGGGTGTGTTTTAGAAAACATTTTCAGCTCATTCCTTTATTTTGCTTCTGAGGACCCTGTTGCTTTCACAGGCTTTTCTGTTTGGACTGATTATTTCAGGCAGGGTGTGTGAGGAGTGCTGGGTGCGCCCGCGGAGGCCCTTCTGTCCCATGTCCTCACAGGTCTTGCTTTCCCCCCCCGCAGAGCCCGCTCAAGCCGCCAGCCCCGCCGAGCCGTTCGATAACACCACGTACAGGAACCTCCAGCACCATGACTACACCCCGTACACCTTCTTAGACCTCAACCTGGACCTGTCCAAGTTCAGGATGCCCCAGCCCTCTTCCGGACGGGAGTCCCCTCGCCACTGAGCGCTCCCTTGACAGAAGAAAGCTTCCGGTGTCTGGGCAGCAGAATAAAACCCGCTCCGGCCATGCCGTGCGTGATCCGTGTCCGTTGGCGGCGAACAGCGAATTCGCGGCACTTGGTGTAGCTGTGCATTTAGACGCATCTGCACACGGGGTTTGCCCGTGGGCCGCAGCCTCAGAGAGTCGCAGGCACCTTGCGTCGCTGCGATCCGCTGTGTCTGGTCCCCGGTCTGTCGTTCGTCTGTCTCCCCGGCTCGGCGCTGGTGAACGTAGTGATACCTTCCAGTCTGGCAGACCTGGTTCTCGGGAAAGCCAGACTAGGAGTTGTTCTGGTTCTAACCACTGTACTGCAAAGAAAATAAACACTGAGTCACGGCGCTTCCGCGCTAGAGAAGGAGCAGAGCCTCTGTTCACCTGCGTCGGGCGTAGGCTGTCAGCTCGGGATGTGTTCAGCGGGGGCTTGGGGACGGAGGCTGGTTTCCTGGGGTCGGGCGGAGCAGCTCTGCCCCCGATGGCCACGGCGGACTCTGGGCTCTTCGGGCTACAGAGGGTTTCTGGGTCGGCCGCGGGGCCTTCCAGCACTCATGGTAGCGTCACTCACGCCTGGGGTGCGAGTAGTATGGAGGCACTTGGGCGGTGGTGGGCGGTGTCTCTGCGCCCGCGCCCGGTGGGGACAAAATAAACCATCTCCTGGGAGAGAGTCACGTCCTGGTGAGGTTACTCCGAAGCAGTCATGGAAGGTGGGCCCGTTTGTGAGGGCGGCTCAGCTCTGCCTGAAGGGGACCCCCCCCCCCGCCACCCCACCTCGAATCCCTATCATTTTAGTGGTTCACTTCGTTCTCACAGGGCGGTTGTCGATGGGCCTGGACTCCTGGACGATACGTCGCTTCGTCTGAATTCTGGTCCTTAGCCTCTTCGGTGCACAGCAAACGACACAGTGTCTTTGTAAATTACGGTTCACTTTTCTCTAATCCCGCATTTCTCGAGCTAGTCCCCGTGAGAACACTGGAATTGAAAACTACGATTGTGATCACTGCCCGGCCTTTTATTACTTCTGACGGCTTAGCCCCTCGGTGAGAGTCTCGTCGTCGCATTTTTTTACTATAAAAGTAGTAGAGCCACGTTACCCGAAAGAAAGGAAGCGGGCAGTAACCGAGAATCCACCGTGCCACGCTCGCACCCCCGTTACTAACACTTCCCACGCCTTCCCTCAGGGTAGGGGCAGCGGAAGGATGGCGCCCTACAACGACAGTTTGCTGTCCCGCAGGGCGTTCCTGTGTCCCAGCTGGCTTCGCATAGCGGCCACAGGACTCATGGGGTGTGTGGGGCCAGGGGGCGTGCAGATCCCCGGTGCGTTTCCCAGACTGCTCCTGCCGCTGCGGCTCGCAGCTCTCAACCCAGCAATGGGTAGGAGTATATTTTCATTTGCATGAAGCTTTTTTTTTTTAAGATACTATTTATTTATTTGACAGACAGGGATCAGAAGTAGGCAGAGAGGCAGGCAGAGAGAGAGGGAAGCAGGCTCCCTGCTGAGCAGAGAGCCTGATGTGGGGCTCGATCCCAGGACCCTGAGATCATGACCTGAGCCGAAGGCAGAGGCTTAACCCACTGAGCCACCCTGGCGCCCCTGCATGAAGTTTTTGGCTGGTTATTTTCCAGTCTCTCCGGGAGTTGGCTCCTTCTCCCCCGACCTCCAAAAAGGCTTGAGAGCCAACACAAGGGGTGCTGGCCACGGCTGTGTGTGCAGGACCCACCATGGTGTGTCCTCTAGCAGCGCCACACCTGCCCGCACTGCATGGTTTTTGGATCCTTGCTCGTCCCGCTGCTCTCAGCGCAGCCGGAATAGCCTGTGTGACTGTCACTCGTGCTGTGTTTTGTATTGTTTCCTTAAGATGGATTTCCAGAAACCAGTCTGATGACTCAGTGGGATTCACACAAGGTGTTGCTTCAGTTTCCGCAAGGGTTTTAATTTTTTTTAATATACTTTTCTTCATTTTTTATTATTTTTTTAAGATTTTATTGAGAGCGAGCACGAGTGAGCAGGGGGTGGGGCAGAGGGAGAGAATCTCCGTCTCCCACTGAGCGTGGAGCCTGATGGGGCAGGGACAGGGGCAATGAGGGCTCAATCCCATGAGCCTGAGATCATGACCTGAGCTGAAGCCAAGAAGCCTTTGCTCAACCGACCGAGCCCCCTAGGCACCCCTCCACAAGGCTTTTAAACCCGTTTAATAGGTTCGAGTGGAATAAGATCATAATTCCACTCCCTTTTGTATTTTCCCTGTCACTGGAACGGTGGCATCTTCCACCTGTCACAGGAAATACCCTTGGACTGCGAGGAAGTCCAGCCCTCGCTCATGCGGAATTCTGGTCCTGACGTTGCCCAGCAGATGCTTGTGCGGCTTGTCTGGTTCTGCCTCCAAGCACGGGCTTCTGTCTGACTGGTCGGCGTTCTCTCCTGCCGGTCTCAGCCAGCACCCAGAACGCAGCGACGCGCTCCTCCGCTCCCAGCTCGCCACCCAGCCCATCCGGCCGCGGCCCCACACCTTGCACGTGGGAGGCACAGATGTTTCTAGAACAGGCCCGACGCACGACATGCAAACAATGCAAAGCCACGTGAGCCGTCAGGCTTTCTGTGAAGGGCCGGAGGGGGGTTCTTTGAGGTTTGCCCTGTGTAGTCACTGTCCCACGTCTTGTTCTTACAACCTTTAAGAATGGCAAACCCATTCTTGGCTGTGGGCCTCTTGTGGTGGCAGAGAGCAGGGCTCTCCAAGGGGCCGTGGTATTGAAGGGGCGGCCAGAGGCCACTTCATGCAAGGACAGGGCTGGACACTCAGATCATGGGTGTGTTTCGGGAGCTCAGCGCCCAGCCTCCGCCGCCTCCTCCCCCTGACCGCCATCCCTCTGCCCTCCAGCCATCTTTATTCTAGAAAGGATTTGAAACACAGACTAGGGTGTAAGAGTTAATGGGCAACGTGGGGTTCCTTACAGAGCGACGTCACTCTCGTGGGCCTGTAAGCAACTGGTCTAAGTGCTTACCTTATGCTGGGCCTGGGTCTGGGCCACGGGTTCAAAGACCGTGCACACCTCTCCCCACTCCCAGCCTCGGGGAGGAGGCCCGGGGAAAGCCATGAGAGGAGATGTGCTGAGCCTGGTAGCAGAGGGGCCATCTGGGGAAGAGAGAAAGTTGATCAGAGAAAGCTCTGTGGGATAGGACATCTACCGCAGATGTTGACAGTGACTGGGAAGCCCCCAGGTTGGTCTTCAAGGTGTTGGGATGGGTCTGTGCCAAGCCCCGGACAGGGACCCTGCTGGAGGCCACAGTTTGAGAAGGGACACGCAGCAAAGATGGGGGCTGAATCATATACTTGGGCTCTGTGTTAGAGATCTCGGACGCCACCATGAAACCACCACCTGAGCCGGGCGGGGGGGGGAAGGGGGCCTCAACAACAGACGACTGTTGTCTCGGTTCTGGATGTTGGAGATGAAGGTACTGGCTGAGGCAGCAGATAGGTCCCTGTTCATGGCTTTGCTGGTGGCCATCTTCCTGTGTCCTCACACCACGGGCCGCTCCCTGGAGTCTCTCCTAAGGGGACCCTAACCCTATCCTGAGGGCGCCCCCAGAACTTGTCTAGCCCTAGCTTCCTCCCAGAGGCCGCACTACCAGTCATCGGCCCTTGGGAGTTTAGGGCTTCAACACAGGAACTGGGGCGGGAAACACAAAAATTAAATTTTAATAAAAACCTAATTTTTCTTAAAGCTTTTGTTTATAAATCTTACCACCCTATTTAAAAATAAACTCCAATTTTTATAGATTTTTAAAAAATATTTTACTTACTTATTTGACACACAGAGAGCCTGCACAAGCAGGGGGAGCAGGAAAGGGAGAAGCAGACCCCCAGCCGAGCAGGGAGCCCAAAGGGGGCTCGATCTCAGGACCCCGAGATCATGACCTGAGCCGAAGGCAGACACTTCATGGGCAGAGCCCCCCAGGTGCCCCTAAATAGATTGCAATATTAATGAACATTCCTAAACTTAAGAAATAAATTTTATTGGACATTCATTTCTTAGTACAATGTATTGGAACTTTTTTTTTTTTAATTTTTTTAACTGTTGGTATTCTTTTTTTCTTTTTTTTTTTTTAAAGATTTTGTTTATTTATTTGACAGACAGAGATCACAAATAGGCAGAGAGGCAGGCAGAGAGAGAGGGGGAAGCAGGTTCCCCACTGAGCAGAGAGCCTGACGCGGGGCTCGATCCCAGGACCCTGAGATCATCACCTGAGCCGAAGGCAGAGGCTTAACCCACTGAGCCACCCAGGTGCCCCTGGAACTTTTTTTTTTTTTTTTCAGTTCCTATATCCATGGGTACATATTACTTAAGGCTAGAAGGGGTTCAATGAAATTTAACAGAAAAGAAAAAAAAAAGATGTGTAGACCAGTTATCGAGGATGGTTTCAGGTTTTGTGGGACCTGATAGAATCTAGAGGGCTCTTTTTAATAAATACAATATAAACATACAAATTCAAAGTCGAATGTGACCAGGAATATTATATAGGATGAGGAAAAATAGCTTACAAATTTTAAAAGCTGGTAGATACTATAAACCTCACAAAATCCAGAAAAATAACATTTTAATTAATGACTTAACATACTTCTATATGTGCCAGGCTAATAAAAAAACAACTTTGGAGGAGCACCTGGCTGACTCAGTGGGTTAAGCTTCTGACTCTTGACTTTGGCTCAGATCATGATCTCAGGGTCGTGAGCTCGAGCTCCGTGTTGGTTGGGCTCAGCGCTGCTGAATGTGGATCCTGCTTAAGATTCTCTCTCTCCCTCTGCTCGTCCCCTACGCCCATGCACGTGGGCTCACACTCCCTCTCTCAAAAACAAAAAATAACTTGGCGGGGCCGTCGGGGGGTGGGGGCGCGTGGGGGGCTCAGGTGGCTTAGCGTCTGCCTTCAGCTCAGGTCACGGTCCCAGGGTCCTGGGATCGAGCCCCGCATCGGGCTCTCTGCTCAGTGGGGAGCCTGCTTCTCCCTCTGCCTCTACTGCTGCTCTCCCTGCTGGTGATCGCTCT